ATTTCATTATCCATACAGGAAAAATGAAGTTGGGCCTTAACCTTATAACATACATGGAATGGATTCTAGATGGATTAAGGACTTAACAATGTACGGCAAATACTTAGGGACACAACTTTGATAGCTTTCCCTTTGAGATCGGGAAACAGATATGGACACCAGGTATTGCTATTACTGTCAGCATTGTACAGGTGGCCTTGGTCAGTGCAATAGGCAAGGAGAAAGAATAAGAATTGGAAAGGCAGAAATAAGTGTCATCAGTGCAGGCGATATGATTGTGGTAGTAGAAAATCATGACCAGTTATCTGTATTCCCAGCTTGTACCTTGCCCATGAACTCTGAACTTGTATGTTCAATTGCCTAAGTCCTTATCTCTACTTGGGCAACTAATAGGCGTTTCACACTTAATGTGTCCAGCCTGCTCCTCCCACAGTCTTCCCTATCTCAGTACATGGCCCAAAACCTGGGAAATATTCTCGTTTCATACCTCATATGTTTTTCACACTTCACATTCAGTCTGTCAGCAGGTATAAGAATACACCTAGAATCAAACAATCTTTTGCATCAGAAGGGAGGGAGAGAATGGAATATCTCTTTAAATTTGCCAAAATTAACAATGGAAGGATAAAAAGGGAATAAAGACTGGTGACCTCTGGGGAGGGAAGGAAAAAAGGGTAGAAGGGAGAGGGTGGCACAATTTCTGAACTTACCTTGTATTTCTTTTTTAATTTTTATTTTTTGCACTCAAGATAGTTTTATTCATTGAATATTAAATCAGTATTAAAATCTCACCTCTTTTTAAAGGCATTAATAAAAATAAGACTTTAAGTTTTCTGCAAATAAAAAGTCAATGCAAAAAAAATTCCCAGGGCTGCAAAGCCCTGCTCTGTTCTCTACTAAAGGGATTTCTAAACTGAGGCTGATTTCAATCTCAGGAGTCTCCCTGGGGGCCCCAAAGGGAAACAGTCAATCAGGAAGGGCTCAGACTTTTCTCCCCATGCAGACATCTTCTCCTGGGACACCCTCTTCTCTGTCGCTACCCACGACACAAAACCTTGTATTATTGTTTTGACTTTAAAATATGTAAATGTGCCAGAGAAAAGAATTATTCCAAGTGACCTCAGAATATGGTATTTTGACTGTAGATCCTCAGTAGGATATACTACAAGCATAAAAAGAACTGCAAAGAAATCTTAAACTTTACTCAATAATTTTGTTGTCTGTAGTAATCCTGGTATTGTTATTTGAACCTGTTACATATTTAAAATAAGATACAATAAGTATTTAATGTTGTTAGGAATAAAGATTTTCAGCATAAGAGAAAAGATATAAAAATAAAAGAAATTAAATAAAAACTATCTGTAGTTCTTATATATGAGTTAGAATCCATGGTTACAATGATTATTTTCCCTTTCAAAGGTACATATCTTCTAACTCTGTTCATTGAAAGACCTTGGTACTCTAACAACCCAGTGGCATTAAGCTCCTACCTGCTAGATTTCTCACTTTAAATACCATTCCCCACTGAAAGGAACTAGGCCTTCTTAGGGAAATGCTTGATTCCAGGTCTGGAGCTGTTATGCCAGAAAGCTAGAAAGCTCTCAAAGGGTTTGGTTGAAAGGACGGGAGAGGTTGTGATTAGAGGTGAAATAACTTGTTTCTTGGAGCTATGTGCTGGAATGTTTGCAGATGTAGTGATGAGGTGTTCGAGATTTGTTTCAGAACAGCCTAGTGGTAGGGAGAGGTGTAGATGAAATCATGTAAATGTCCATGACTTAAGAATTTTTTTTTTTCAGTTAAGGCTTTATTGGGGGTTCGTGCTGTAACACAAAGGAGTGAAAATAAGGAACAGGTGCCCTTGCTCGCGCCTTTTTTTTTTTTTTTTTTGAGTTGAGAATTAGTAAGTCTAAGTGATAGGTATATAGGGATTTGTTATACTATTTTCTATGTGTTTGAAAGTTTCCAAATAAAAATAAAAAAGCATAAGAACAAGGGAAAAGGAGGTCCTACAGGCCAAAGATGGGACAATTTGTGTTTCAAAAATACTGACTACCTCTGATTAAAACTACTGTGATAAAAAGAAATAATTTGTAGTAGTACCTAAAGAAGTAATACCTAAAGAAAGCAAAGCTCGCTGGACACGTTGAAGGTAGCAAGACAATAGTTCATTAATATAAAACTTGACAATTAAGGGGAAAGAATAAGTGTTTATTTTGCTTTGCCAACACCAGTGCCATTTTCTCACCCTAGTGGATGAGAAAAAGTCCTTTACAGAGCACCTTTAGCTCATAAATGCCGAAGAAACGATAGAAAATCATCATTCTGCAAACCATAATAAAATACCTGTTTCAGACAGTAGTTATCAGAGCATGGTAAATGCATTCGGTAAAATTTTTTTTTTAATACATTTATTTATTTATTTTTGGCTGTGTTGGGTCTTCGTTGCTGTGCGTGGGCTTTCTGTAGTTGTGGTGAGCGGGGGCCACTCTTCGTTACAGTGAGTGGGCTTCTCATTGCGGTGGCTTCTTCTGTTGCGGAGCAGGGCTCCAGGCGCACGGGCTTCAGTAGTTGTGGCTTGAGGGCTCCAGAGCGCAGCCTCAGCAATTGTGGCACATGGGTTTAGCTGCTCCGTGGCATGTGGGATCTTCCCAGACCAGGGATCGAACCCGTGTCCCCTGCATTGGCAAGTGGACTCTCAACCACTGTACCACCAGGGAAGCCCAATTAGGTAAAATATTGATGGGCAGTTTTAATCAGGCTGTTACTATCTGAGTTTGTTGATTAATTTAGCATCACTAAAAGTAAGACAACCAGATACAAGCCTCCTAAAGTGATATAATTTTATTGAAGAGTATCACACCATCTATAAAGTGTTCTAGCCAAAAATGTAAATAATAGCATGAAAGCAGCCATAGACAATAAGTAAATGACTGTGCATGGCTGCTTTCCAGTAAAACTTTACTTACAAAAAGGGTGGTAGGTTGGATTTGACCCAAGGCTCTGGTTTCCTGACATCTGCTATTGAAGGTACAAAAATATGGGAGTTTTCTCCTTTATTTTATTATTTATATATCTGTGTATTTTTGGCTGTGCCCCACGGCTTGTGGGATCTTAGTTTCCCGACCAGGGATTGAACCTGCGCCCTCCGCAGTGAAAGCGCAGAGTCCTAACCACTGGACTGCCAGGGAATTCCCTCTTTTATTTTAATTATGGTAAAATTTGACAAGAAGAAAGGTATGGTTTTGCATGATATCATGAAATGAATGTAGGATTTAAAGTTAGAAGCCTTGGGTTCAAATCCTGACTCTAAATTGGCTGTGTAATTTTAGGGCAGTCACTTAACCTTTCTGATCCTTATTTTATGCTTCTGAGAATGAGGACAGTAATAATGTACACTTCACAGGGTGGTTTTAAAGATCAAATGGAATAAGGTATGTGAAAGTGCTTTATAAACTGAAAATGCTAAGCACATATCACTTGTTCTCACAAATTGCTTGTTGCTCAGCATCTTCTAGATTCATCTGTAATAAACATTAAATATTTAAAAGTAAAAGCAAACTAGAAAATTTGAATTTAAATGTAACATAAATACGAAGACTGAGAGAAATGAGCTATACATTATGCATTTCTCTTTTCAGAAGCCAACAAAGTGACTTTAGATTGGTTAAAGCTGCTTTTAACAGAAGATGGTATAAATATATTTTTCCAAAGTAGAATTTTCTAGGGAAACATTGGTTTTCATCACAGGTGTAGGATTTATAGTGGTAACGTGCTGGTGGGGGAGCTGAGGAAGGAGGAAGTGGAGAAGCGCAGGTAGGTGTTGACAGGGAGGCCTTTGCGGTGGGCAGCAGGAGCGCATCCGTGACCTGCAAGAAAGCATTTTCAGTAGAGCAGGAACATGGCGAAACTGCAGGCAGCCGGGAGGGAGTGGGCGGGGAGGAAACGGAGGCATTAAGCGGACACGGCTCTTTCTACACCTTTGGCAGAAAAGTGAAAAAATAGGGTGTTGCTTAAAAGGGCATCAGGGTTGGGTAGATGCTATCTCAGAAAAGGGAGGGCAGCCAGGGGAAGGAGTGGGACCAGGGTCCACGGGGAAGGGAGGCAGCCCGAGGGCAGGCAGGAGGGAGAGTTGAGAGTGGGATGGAGAAATGTCCAGGGACAGGAGGTGGCCATATACCCGGCCAGTGGAGGCCAGGCTGCAGTGAGCAAAGTGGGGAGGGGAGCCTTGCAGAGAAGGGCGTGGTGGATATGAGAGCTCCCTCAGAGGGTGACCAGCGATGGTGTGTCCTCCCTCAGTGCACTGCCCACTCCGGGCTTTACTTTTACCCTCAGACTTCACTCCGCCCCATCTGTTAGAGATCACGCATTTACAAACTATAAGCTCCTTGAGTGCAAGGCTTATGTCAAATTCAAATCAGTATCTCCTGTAACACTCAGCATAATGCTGTGTGTAACCCATGTTTGCTGAATGTCTGTAGGATGTGTGAGGGAAGAAATGAAGGGAAATTGCCACGAATACAGGACTGAGTCAGCAGGGGCAGTTGGCCTTGCATGGTTGGTTTGGTTAAAGCAAGCCTCCCCACCTAGGTAGCGGTGAAAGGGAGATAGCCTACATTCCTAATAAATTAAAAGTCACTTCCTCCTGGGAGCCCACCGTCTCCAAATTTGGGTTAGATGCCCATACTGTGTGCTCCCGGAGGCATGTGTCCTTCCTCATTATGGCATTTTGCACCCTCTGGTGAAATGGTCTGCTTACTTGATGGACTCGTCTGTACCCCACACGTCTGTTGAGCTTCAATTGAAGGCAGGGCTCATATCTTTCTTGTCTCTGTATTTGCATCACTGAGCACAAAGCCTGGCACACGCTCAGCACGTCATAGGTTCTCATTAAGTCTGTGTTCAATTGATTACAGATTAGCTGATTGGGGATCTGAAACATTGAGAACTGATTGTAAGTATTGTCTCTGGGTCTCTTTCTCTTTTAAACCCTGCCATTGTAGGAGGAAATTCGGTGCCTTCTAAAGGACTTCAACCCTCTCCGTGTCCACAAAATCCAGAATGGCTGCAAATGGTAATGACTGTTCTTCCTTTGTTTTCTCTGGGAAGCAACTCCTTTCCTCTTTGTCCATTTTGCTGATGCACTGATGTTACAGACTAGCTCAACAACTCCCAAAGCCACACCCACTGCGACTTGGCAGAGTGACATTTGGGAAACCCCCTTTCCACGTCCAACCCTCTGACTTGGCAGCTAACGCTGCCTTATCCATACAGCCTTGGTTTGGAAGTCCAGAGACCTGGGTTTGCTTTTGGTCATGTCCTTGCTCTGTTTTCTGACTTGAGGCAAGTGACTGTACCTCCCTCAGCCTTGCTTGCCCCTGAAATCTGGACCTACTCATATTTTCCCTTTCTTATTTTCCAGGCAGTAAAAGGGCTTTGAAATTTTGTGGGGAGCGGCGTGAAGGAAGCCCAGAGCCGTGCCCTATGTTATACGGTGATAGGGTCAGCATGTGTCTCCTGATCCCCAGGACACCCAGGACAGGCTGTCCCCCTGCCCATCCCAGCCCAAATGTGGATGTCACTGTGGCCTCCTGGTGTGTTAGGGTCAGCCCAGCTCCTCTCCTGTCCCCACAGAGGGGAGAGGAGACTTTTCCTAGGCTTGGGCTTGGTGCCCTCCTGTGGCTCTGTTCTGAGCCGGGCTCAGAGCTGCCCTCTCTTTCCTTTGCAGCTTCGCATTTGTAGATGTGGGCTCCATGCAGAAAGTGGCGCTTGCGATCCAGGAGCTGAATGGCAAGCTCTTCCGCAAACGAAAACTGTACGTGAATTCCAACAGGTCTCCCAAGAGGACCCTTGATGTGACTGAGTGCACCCAGGAACTGCTGGTAGGTGTCTGGCCTCTCTGCGCTCTGGTTTGCTCTGTGCTCACTCTTCAGAGCTTGGCCGACTTTGCTTTCTGGACTTTCCTCCTCCTTCCATCCCAGTCGTACTGTGGACAGAGCAGGGGCTGGGATGAAATTCGGGAACTTTTATGACCTTTAACGGTTGGAAGCAAGGTTAGTATGGAAAACTTGGAATTTTGAAATGAAAGGAAGGCTGTATTCTTAGCAAGGACAAAAGGAGGGTTATTAGGCAATTCAGTCAGGGCTTTTTCAACGTGGGTTATGGAAATTGAGGCTTTTACTTGTTTAACGTAGCAGACATTAATCGAGTATCTGTTGTTTGCACAGCCTTGTTCTGGGTGCTGGTGTGAGGGTAAGTAAGACAAAAGTGAATAAAATCTGGTCCTTCCTGGCAGGAAGACAAATGTGAGGTATTGCAAGGGGAGAGTTAATGGTGGGTTAGCGCCTGGTGGGGGCTGCCTTTGTGGACAGAGACGAGAAGCCCCGTAACTAAGCCCTGGGAGCTTCCCTCCGGTGAGGTGGGCCCGTTCTCGGTAGGTAAAGGTGAACCAGGAGCAAAGCATCCCACTTCAGAGCCTGAACTGTTAGCGATTGAGTTGTTCTGATTTCCTCATATATACAGCCGACAGTGACTTAAACAAGTTAGCTATTTGTTTTTCTTTCCTGTAGAAGAATTCAGGAGGTAAGGAGTCCAAGGTTGGTATGGGCACTCCATGGTGTTATCAGAGTTCCAGGCAGGAAGAAGGGGAGAGGCAGAGGGTGGAGAGGCTGTATCCTCATAAAAGCTGCATTCTCAGAAGCCTGACCACAATTCTACTCCTGTTGTGTTGGAGAGAACTACAACTGGTGACCTTCAGTGCAGAGGAGGCTGGAAAATATAGCTTATTTGAAAATAGGTACATTGTTGCTAAACTTGGGGATCTGTCAGCAAGGGAAGGGAGAATGCCTGTTGGCAGGCAGTTAACAAGGTCAGCCACTGCTGCAGAAGTTGGAGATGGGAGTTGAGAGGTGGATAGGAATCACCACAGTAAGATTGTCAGAGGTGGCTCCCCTTGCTAGTCCAAACTATTCTCTTTCCATTCTCCTGAAACTCTAGCTCTTGGAAGGGCAGGCTGTCAGATTATGCTACGTACTGACCTTCTTGGTTGCAGTCATCTGCCATTCTCGCTGTCATGCTCCCCTGATAACTTCAGCTTCTGACTCACTGTCTTTCTCTCTTACTGACACTCACATTGTGTCCCTGTGAATGATCTAAGAGCCTGGCCCCTTATTTCTAGAGCATTTATCTTTAATGATCTTTTCTTCCACTCAGTCACAGTTTCCCATTCCCTGAGTTATATCTCAGACCTTGTCATTGCTCATAACCGAACATCTCCAAAATATCCATTTCGAGCATCCCACTCTGCCCCTGTCCCCTTCTTTGCAGCTCTCTTACTTTGGAGGAGCAGTTCTCAAACTTGAACAGCGTCAGAAACACTGCTGAGCTTGGGAAACAGCTTGCTGAGCCTCACCTGCAGAGATACTGATTGAGTGCATCTGGGGCAGGGCCTGAGACTTTTCACAAGTGCCAGGTGGTCCTGGGACCACATTTTGAGTAGCAAGGCTCTAAAGCCCCCAGTCTAATGATTAGACACACTGGGACCCAAAATCCACTGCCTCACCATTTCTTCACTATTCAACACTCTTGGCTCCATCACATCCCTTCTTAGCTTAGATTCCGTAGTTAGAACTACCTTAGTTAAAACGACCTGAATTCCCTTAGCTTACTAGGTCATATCTTGCAAAACCCCTCTCAGTTGAACCCAGCCCTCAATCTCTTCTGAAGCTGCCCTGTGAGCCGCTGAAGATATTCACGCCACCTTGCCAACTGCTCTCAGTATAGGTATGGCCACAGCTTCCCCACTCTTTCCAACTGACCTGTATTGGAAATCTCTAATCGTTTCTGCTGTTATGTCCAATCTGCTATTAAGCCCAGCTAATGCATTTTTCATTTTAGATAGTGTAGTTTTCAACTGCCGTTTGGTTCTTTTTTCCCCATTTCTCAGCTGAACTCTTCCATCTTTTCATCCATTTTGTTTACCTTTTCTTCCATATTCTTTAACATACTTACTGTAGTTATAAAATCATTTTCTGCCAATTCCAACAGCTGGGTCATTAGTGGCTCTGCTTCTAGTGACATTTACCTCCTTGCTTAAGGGTCAAGACTTCTTACAAATATGGTAATTTTTGATTGTATGTTGGCTATTATGGATGTTGTATTGTAGACTTTATATTATGTTCTCTAAATAGTGTTTATTATTTTTTCCTAGCAAAAATGGAACACTAGCTGGCCTTCTGATCTTATTAAAGTTGGTTTTCTTTGTTCGCATTAGTATACTTCAGTTTGAGCCATAGTTTTTGGGCAAAATCCTTTTCCTAAGGGTGAGGGTCTCAGGGTGCTTACCAAGGTCTCTGCAGTCTGGCCGGGTCGGAACTCTGTTGTCTCCCCAGCACTGTGAGATCTTTGATTCCTGTATTCCTCTCTTAGCTCCCTGTCCTCTACCTTCTACAGCAGCTCTTCTCTCGAAGGCCTCCCAGAACTTGCCCTGCACACGGGCAGCCTAGGATTCGGCCAAGGACCTGGGGTCAGCCTCTAGATCTCTGGGGCTTTTCTCTGACTCCTTTCTCTCTGGTACCCTGTCTCACAAGTTCCTGGCACCAAAACTCTTATCTGGGTTTCTTCTGCCCAGGAAGACTGCCACTGACTGCCCAAGCTCTGCTTGCCTTTGCCGTGGTTTGGGAAAATGTCCAGAGTAAATGTGGGCTCACCGGCTATGCTCTCCTTTTCTCAGGCAAACTGCTCTCTGCTACCCACTATCATTAGCCTGTGCCAGAAACGGTTAATTCATATAGTTCGTCCAGTTTTAGGGTTATTTGGGACGGGCGAGTACTGTCATGCCAGAACCAGGTACTAGAAAAGGGTGTTAAGAGGCTCGCCTTCTTCCTTTTGGGATGGCTATCATTTCTCAGGAACATTCCCAGTGCTTTTGCATTAGAAATAAGTAACCAAAAGATGAACACTAATCTCCATACATTTGGAAATCTAAAAACATATTTCTAAGTAAACAACACATGGGTCAAAGAAGAAATCATAAGAGAAATTTAAAAGTACTTAGGAGACTTCCCTGGCTGTCCAGTGGTTAAGACTCCACACTTGCATTGCAGGGGACACAGGTTTAGTCCCTGGTCGGGGAACTAAGATCCTGCATGCTGCATTGCACAGCCCCCAAAAAAAAAGTACTTAGAACTGAACGATAAGGAAAGTTTTTCTCATCAAAAGTTGTGGGATAGGGCTTCCCTACTTAACTACTGGTGCCACAGTAGTTAAGAATCCGCCTGTCAGTGCAGGGCACACGGGTTCGAGCCCTGGTCCAGGAAGATCCCACATGTCTCGGAGCAACTAAGCCCGTGCACCACAACTACTGAGCCTGCAGTCTAGAGCCCACGAGCCGCAACTACTGAGCCCACATGCAGCAACTACTGAAGCCTGCGTGCGTAGAGCCCATGCTCTGCAATAGGAGAAGCCCCCGCAATGAGAAGCCCGTGCACCGCAATGAGGGTAGCCCCCACTTGCCGCAACTAGAGAAAGCTGGCGTTCAGCAAGAAAGACCCAACGCAGCTAAAAATAAAATAAATAAATTTATATATAAAAAAAGTTGTGGGATACAGCGAAAGCAATACTTATAGGGAACTGTATAATATTGAATGCTTAAATGAGCAAAGAAGACAGGATGAAAATAAATGAGCTTAGAGTTGATTGAAGAAGTATATAAAAAGTAAAAATAAACCCAAATAAGGAACAGACAAATTTTTTTTTTTTTTTTTTTTTTGGCGGTACGCGGGCCTCTCACTGTTGTGGCCTCTCCCGTTGCGGAGCACAGGCTCCGGACGTGCAGGCTCAGCGGCCATGGTTCACGGGCCCAGCCGCTCCGCGGCATGTGGGATCTTCCTAGACCGGGGCACGAACCCGTGTCCCCTGCATCGGCAGGTGGACTCTCAACCACTGCACCACCAGGGAAGCCCAGACAAAAGTTTTAAAACAAAGTTTTTTAAAATTTAAAATTTTGTAAACAAAGCCACAATTATATGTCAGTTACATCTCAGTAAAGCCGGGGGGGAAAACAAGAAGCATAAAAAAACAAAGCTACAATAGAAGGGATCAGTAAAGTCAAAATTTCATTCTTTAAAGAGATTAATGAAACAGAAAAACCTTTGGAATGATTAATCAAGAATAAAGGAGAAAAGGGCATAGGTAAACATTAGTAATAAAAAGATGATAACTATAGATGTAGCAGATAATAAAATATAAGCTAATACGGTAATAAACTTGAAAACTTAGAAGAAATGGACACATTTATTAAAGTATATCATTTTCAAAACTAATAAAAAAAACTGCTAGTCCTATATCTGTAAAGCAGTTGAATCAAAGTTTAGAATCTTCTTATAAAGAAAACACCAAGCCCAGATGGTTTTATAGGCAAATTTTACTGAATTTTCAAGGAACAGAAAATTCTAATATTATATAAATTCTTCTAAAGAATAAATGAGATACTTGCTAGTTCATTCTATGAGGCCAATATAACCCTGATATCAAATCAGACAGGAGAGCATAAGAGAGAAAAATTGCAGGCTGGTTTCACTCACATGAATACACATGCAATGTTTCTAAACAAAATATTGGCAAAATGAAGTCAGTATTGGCTAATGAAGATAGTATTATACATCATGGCAGTTGCATTTTTTTTCTAGAAATGCAGAAGTAGCTTAATATTAGATAAATAATAAATCAGGAGTTCCCTGGTGGCCTAGTGGTTAGGATTCTGGGCTTTCACTGCCGAAGCCTGGGTTCAGTTCCTGGTCAGGGAACAGAGATCCCACAAGCCATATGGCGCAGCCAAAAAAAAAGAAAGAAAGGAAGAAAAAAAGAATGAAAAACGATAAAT